TCAAAATGAGTTTTTGCATCTTTTATAACAACTATTTGACTTAGCTCTCTTTCCACAGGTTCTGGTGGCCCTGCTCAGCCATGTCTGTCATGACCTCAACTATGAAGTTTGCCCTGGTTCTAGAAGGATGACATTGGCTGCAAGGACTAACTTCTAGAAGGCACCTGGCACGTGCACCACTCGAACCTCACACATCGGAGAATGTCTCCCTGTGGTCCATTGTTTCTGGGACTGAACACTGCTGAGGAGCCAAGGTGGCCTGGATTTTGCACCTTTGTGGAAAATATGCTTTTTTCTGGCCTAGATACTTGGACATTCAAAGCTTTTTATGTTTGTATTTCAAAACTTTTGCCAAAATGTGTCTATATATGACTCTCGTTTCACCGATTCTGCTAGAATGTGGAAAGGCCAGCTAGTCTGCCCATGCAGCCTGCACATTCCTTACGAAATGTTGATTTTATAGTTCCATCATGGTCGAAGATGGGCAATTTTGTCGGCTCCAATCTAGTAGTTCTCTCTTGAGCCCATTTAAGTTTGTCTCCAACTTTTTAAAAATAAATTTCTTATTTGAGAATAGTTTCAGATTTACAGAAAAACCACAAAGATAGTACAGAAAATTCCCATATGTCCCTCACACAGTTTCCCCTATTTTTAACATCTTATGTTAGTATGGTACATTTGTTACAATTAATGAGACAAGACTGACTCATTATTATTAGCTAAAGCCCATACTGTATTCAGACCTCCGTAGTTCTTTTTTCTAATGTCCTTTTTCTACTTCTGAATCTCACCCAGGACACCACATTTAGTTGTCAGGTCTCCATAGACTCCTTTTAAACTTAGACATGTCTTCTTTTTTTTTTTAATCCTCACCTGAGGATATTTTTCCATTGGTTTTTAGAGAGAGTGGAAGGGACAGGGAGAGAAAGAAAGAGAGAAACATTGATATGAGAGAGACACATTTATTGGTTGCCTCCTGCACGGGGCCCGACTAGGGCTGGGAATTGAGCCTGCAACCGAGATAAGTGCCCTTGACTGGAATTGAACCCTGAACCCTTCAGTCCATGGGCAGATGCTCTACCATTGAGCCAAACCGGCTAGGGTGACATTCCTTATTTTTAAAGACCAAGATGGTGTTGAGGAGTATTGGTCAGATATTTTGTAGATTGGCCTTCAAACAGAATTTGCCTGATGTTTTTCTCATGGTTAAATTGAGGTTATGGATTTGGGGGAGGAAGATCATAGAGGTAAAATGCCCTTTCGTCACATCACTTAAAGGGTACATTCTATCAATAGGACTTATCACGGCTGATGCTGTCCTTGATCACCTGTCTGAGGTAGTGTTTGTCAGGTTTTCTACTGTAGAGTTATTCTCCCCACTCCCCACCCCCTTCATACTGTACTCTTTAGAAGGAAGTCAATTAATAAGTGGGTAGTTCTGCTCCACCTCCGTGAATGTGACTACCTACATAAATTATTTGGAATTCTTCAGCATAGGAGATTTGTCTATTCTCTCCCATTTACTTATTCAATCATTCATATCAATATGCACTCACGGATATTTATTTTATACTTTGAGTTGTAATCCAACACTTTTATTTTATTGCTCTAATGTTCCAGCTGTGGCCACAAGGAGCTCTTTCAGAGGCTGCTCTACCGCTCTGACCCAGCCCATCTGTGTGTGGAGGTGTTTTGAGCACTCCTTGTTTTCTGGCACTGTAAGGCATTCCAGGATCTAATTCCTGTCTCAGTCCTAGAATCAGCTATTTCTCCAGGGAACCCTGGTTCCTTTTCCTTGAAAATGGTATTAGAAACCAAGAGCTGGGTGCTAGGTGTGCTTGTTATTGTTTTGTAAATTTTAATTCTGTTTCATTTGTCCTGATTTTCCCTTAGGATCTCCCTTCTCCAGCATCCATAACTGCTACCTTCTCTCTCATTAGATTGATTTCTTTGACCATTTCCTCTGAATCTCAAGTTTGTCCTCTATATTATTGATTTTTATTTTCCTTAGCATTAACGCTGCTCTCTACTACCTTGAATGCAGATTTTAATTCTATAATTTCCTATTTAGTTTTCTTCCCTGTCCTCTGTACTTCCTTCTCTATCTTATCCCACAGTGAACCAGAGGTTTGCTTTTTCTCAGAGCTTTCCAGAAGTTACGTTTCTTTGTTCTTGAGTATTTTACTCTTGTGTTTTGTTGGCTTTGTCTGTCCAGACTTGATATTTCACTTACTTACACTCAACAAATTTATTGAGCAAATTAGATTTGGGTCTAGGTGATGGGGGGGAATAACATAGTGACCATGACAGACAGAAACAGCTATCTCCAAGAGCTCCCATCCTAGTGGGAGGAGACAGATGAAAAAACAACTGGGTAAAATGAATAGTAGGTCAGATGTTGTTAATGGTTGAATTGTGTCCCCCCAAAATGTTGAAATCCTAACCCCCCAAACCTCAGAATGTGACCTCATTTCAAAACAGGGTCATTGCAGGTGTAATGAGCTAAGATGAGGTCATGCTGGATTGAGAGCCAACATGACCAGTGTCCTGATACACAGATGATGTGAAGAGGAAGGGGGATAATGCCTTTTGAGGCAGAGATTGCAAGCCAAGGGACACCAAAGGTCGCTGGCGACACCAGAGGCTCAGAGAAAGGCACAGAAGAACCCCAGAGCCTTCTAGACAGCATGGCTTTGACCTTAGACTTCTAGCCTTCAGAATGGGAAAGAATAAATTTCTGTTGTTGTAAGGCACCCAGTTTGTAGTACTTTGTTAAGGCAGCCCTAGGAAATATACAGATGCCCATCAGAGCAATGGAGAAAGAAATTAGCAGACAAGGAAAAAGGAAGTGAGAGGGGCAAATATTTAAATTTTAACTGAAATAATTGGAGAAGGGAAAAGTCTGGGAAAAGGGGGCTACTCAGCAAAGAAGAGGAGAAGGCATGAGAAGGAGCCCTGCAGGTTCTAGGGGAAGAGTGCTTCACGCAGCAGAAACCCTTTGCAACAGACCGAGCATGCTGTCCTTGGCTCTGCCCTCCCAGGCTTACGTGACATTAGAATCCTTTCTCAGAACCACAGCTGTGTGGGGTGGAGGAGAAGGCTGAGTCCTGGTGCTGCCCAGATCCAAGTTTGAATTCCAATCTCCCTCTTTCCAGCTGGGTGACTCGGGTTGAGCTCCTTAACCTCTTTGAGCCTCAAGTTCCCCATTTGTGAAATGGAGATACAAAATCCCCTCTGTCCAAGGCTCTGGGGAGAACTAAGTGAGTAAGTGAAGGTGTAGGGCTGTGCATGGGGGCTTGGCCCTTGGTTAGTTCACACGAAAGGTCGGCTGGTATTTTCATCATTGTTAACATCAGTCTTGCTTCTGTTGTAGTTAGTTGGTTGATGGGCAAGGCACCCAGTTCCATTCCAATTTCCTGTAGACTTTTAACTAGTGCTTCTGCTCTATGCACAAAGGCTCTTTAAACTTTAAAGCCTGCAGAACTCTGCAGGGCTTCTAAGGTACAAGGAGCTATTTCAAGTGTCCACCCTGGGGAGACACTGTGTGTGGCAGGAGAATGTCAGTTCAGTACCAGGCCCTTCCCTCCACCCCTGACCCACCCCAGGGGCTCGCTCCCCCGCTTTGGGTCTCCAGGGCTCACACAGCCCGACTCAACTCTCAGACCACACAGCCTGCTGGGGAAGAGCTTGGGCAGATCCAGCCCCAACCATCTGTGCTGCCAGCAGGCCCTCCCTAGCTACTGTTTCCTCATCTGCAGAGGCTCCCCAGGCTGAAATGTCACGTGTAGATGCAGTTTTTGCTTCTGAACAGGGAACAAAGAAATGGTGCTCTGCTTCCTTTACCCCTCACCTCTCAGCTTCTGTATGCCATCTGTGAACTGAGAGCTTTGAAAGATGAGCGCTCTAAACTGCCACCTGCTCTAATTAGTGTAACCTGGGACCTGCCCAAGAGAGAGGGGATATGTCATGTCTGGGTCTCCATGACAATGACTTTCAATGTGGGCATGAGGAAGTGGAAGAGAGTGAAAGAGGAAAGTGACAGCTTTAACCATGTCTGATTCTGCTTTAAATCCCTAGCAGCTCCCACTGCTCTCAGGATAAAAGACCAAAGTTCTTAGCTAGGCATTCAAGGCTCATGGAAACTGGCTCTAAATTGTTTCTAGCCTCGGCAAATTTCCTGTCCCACCTGATATGCCAGCCTCCTGGAATTCATACTGATTCCAAGCGTCAAGTGAGCACAGCTGTCTGGCCCTCTGTCTTCAGCCCTCCTTCCCTGCTGGGCTCTTGTAGGCCCCCATCCCGCTCATTGTCCATGGCCAGCTCAAATGCTGTCCCTTCTCTGGAGCCTTGTTGGAATCCTTTCCCTGGGTGGGGCCAGTCCCTTCCTCCCTTGTTCCCAGGTCCCTGTGTTCCTGATTCCCCTAAGAGGTACCTGCTTTCTGCAACAGGTGCAAGCCACCTGAGGACAAGGGCAGGCCTGATGGTAAACCTAAGCCCAGGAGGGGATCTGGCGCAAACAAGGTATTTGAGAGTTTGCAGAATGAATGGACAGATGACACTCAGAGATCATTTACAACTGGGCAAACTTCTAGTTGACCATTTCTGTTCCTGGAGTGAGTGTCAAGGAAGGGGGTCAGGGGCCTAGGCTTTCTGTCCCACCAGTATACTTGCTTGCTGTGGTTCTGGGCAAGAGAGTTCCTCTCTCTGAGATGCTTTGCATTGGAGATGATGCTAACTTATGCCCTGCTTGCCTCTGAGGCTGGGTTAACAGACATACAATCACTGAGTAAGCTCTACATGGCCATGCAGCTGGCGCTGAGACCTCTGGTCAGTGCTGGAAAGCCAAGGGAAGCCAGCTACTGGGAGCTTCTCCCCATGTCTGAGGTGCCAAGGATAAAATGAAACAGCCCGAACTCCAAGATCCTTCACAGTCAGGGGATTTGGGAACCCCATGAGTGTGGCATTGGTTCTGTCCTCCAGGCCGTGGCCACTGCACCTACCTTAAGTTTCTTGACACTGGTGCAGGGGTCATTGGAGAAGCTCTCGGTGTCTGAAATCTCAATGTCCTCACCATACAGAACCCCGGTCAGGTCATTCCTCACCTGTCAGAGAGAAAAAGTAGAGGGTGGGTGATCTGGTGGCCACAGAAAGGGCTGGTTCAGCGAGGTCGTCCAGTGAGTGAGGCGATTTTCTCCACTAACATCGGAAAGGACTGATTTTTATCTTCATTATAAACTATAGCACCCTGTGGGACCTGGCACACAGGCATGAGGAGGCCAGACAGGGAAGGGCCTTACTCAAGTTTCCCAGGAATTTTCTGGAGAAATCAAGAGGAGCATCCAAGTCTCTGGACTTCATGCTGGTGTTTCTCCAGTGTCACACTGACTCCAAACCAGACTATTCAAGTACATCCCAACAGTATTTATATTTTGTATTAATTACTTGTAATCTTACTTAACTTATAGGGTGAAGAAATAGCCAAGACATTCAAACGGACAATGCAGAATGAAGTAAGTGGGTATGGAACCAGCCTGTAGTGTTAAACATAACTACATGTCTGCTGACACTCAGATGACTAACATCGATGTGCTTGAAAGGCAGAGGGCTGCCAACTCCAGTGTTCACCAGGACCAACAAGGAAAGAAATTACAGGGTGGTAGGGACTGTAGCAAACTGGCAACCACACTCTAAGGTGGCAGCTCCCATCATGCCATGCCAGAATGTTAGTCCAGAGTCACCAGAATCAGAAATCTAGATTTTTTAAAATACAAGATCCCCATATTTTAAAATATTGATGCTATTTTGAATTTTAAAACAGTTAGGACCAAACCAAAGAAATCTGCAGTCTGTGTCTGGCATTAGGGGTTGGGGGATGAAGGATTGGGGAGTTACTGTTTAATGGACATAGTTTCTGTTTGGGAAGATAAAGAGTTCTGGAGATGGCTGGTGGTGCTGGCCGTACAACAATGTGAACGGACTAAACACCGCTATACTGCACACTTCAAAATTATTATAATGGTAAATTTTATGTTATGTATATTTTACCACAATACAAAGGCACTTCTTGTTTCAAAAATTGGTAGCCCAGCCGGTACGGCTCAGTGGTTGAGCATCAACCCATGAACTAAGAGGTCACTTGTTGGACCCAGTCAGGGCACTTGCCTGGGGTTGTGGCTCGATCCCCAGTAGGGGGCCTGCAGGAGGCAGCTGACCAATGATTCTCTCTCATCATTGCTGTTTCTATCCCTCTTTCTCTCCCTTTCTCTCTCTCTCTCAAATCAATAAAATATATATATTTTAAAATGATAATTATTCCAATGTACATATAAAAATGTTTTGAATAATTTGGCCCTGAATATCGCAAGATGGTTACTGGGCAGCCACCATTACAGAAGGGGAACAAAGGGGCTTCAATAGGAACTGCTGTATTTTATTTCTTTAAAAGAAATATTACACAAACAGGGGAAAATGTGAACATTTTAAAATTCTGGGTAGCAAGCCCATAGGTGGTTGTGAATCTGTGCTTTTCTGAATGCCTGAAATACTTTGTGATAAATGTTTTGTATTGAGAATGAAACTGACACAGTCAGGGTGAAGCTTGTCCATCCTTCGTTTTTACTTCCATTTTGATAGGAGAGTGGGAACTAGTTGTATGAAAAAAAAATGTTGACTTTGCTAGTATAGTTCGGCTGCCTCAGTTTCTTGCTGGATGCAGGGGAGGGGGCATGATCTGCTTTGTGTGTCATGAGGGTGTTGTGCAACAACAACAATTAAACATAGAAAATGTGCAAACACGCCCCTGCTGGAAGGCAGTGCAGCTGGATGCACACACTGCTGGGCTTGCACCGACGGCCCCGGCTCTCCACTTGCATGCCACCCAAAGTCAGGGAACTACTCCTGCTCTCAGGTCTTTTCACCTCTAAAATGGGGACACTACAGCATGTAGCTCACAGGGTTGATTCAGGGCCTAGTAAAAATGCTGAGTATGTGGAATGGCTTTGTAAATCCTAAGGCTCTTTTCACTGCCTAAAAGCTGGAATTAGCATTTCCAGGCTTAAGGCACGGCATCAAGGTAGTCAGTGGCTTGGGTATCTATCTTTCTGTAAGTGTTTGCTTGAAAACTGTATGTAATTATGGCAGATAAAATATTTTATAGGTGATCAGAACTCAAAACAAATAAAAATGAAACACCCTAGAGGTCCCCTCACTCTGCCCCTGATTTCATAAATGAGGAAGCTGAGTTGTGACCCCCAGCCCAGTGCTCTCTGCATGCTCCCAGGCTGGCTTTTCTGGATCCTGCCAGATGTGGATGGTTCCTGAGGCCTGATGAGTCAGAACAGGTCAGAACAGCTGGTTGGTGCAATCAGCCCTCACTGCCCATAATTTCAGCACCAAGAAGTCTGTGCTCAGCTTGAGTATTTAATCTAATGGACTTTTTAAGGGAAAGCAAATGGAGGAAACCAGTAATAAATGGTATTTTAAAATAACCAAAGCATGGAAAAGAAATAATGTAATTGATCTTCCTCACAAGGAAACGTATCCACACCCTCACATGTGGCTAAAAGGGGGTCATTCAGTTCACTGGCAAAGACTTACTTAGCAAATGTGAAAAATTGCCATTTTTCCCTTCTGGACCTGCAGGTATTTCTTGTTTAACAGAGTCAATGTCTTTTGGCAGTTTGCTATGAACTGCATTTCTGCAAAGAGAATCCTATTTTTTATTCAATTCCATTATAAAAGCAGAAAAGTATTCTGGGAAAGGAATAACCCTTCATTATCAAGAAAACAAAATATACACACACTCAAGTATAGAGAGGGTCCCACTGCATATTAGACCCAGGGAGGGAGCAACCAGGAGTCTGATTTGCCAAAAGGCCCTGGCCACCCCGGGAGGGAAGAGAAGAGATGAGATGGGCACTGATGGGAGGGGATAGAGAAGAAGGCTGCCCCATCTATCACCTGGAAGGGAGGACCTGGGTGGCCAGTGTTTCAAGGAAGGCCATGAGCTGCCCCCTCCCCCCCCCCGTGATAATGGAAAGGGGACAGGGAAGGGTTGAGTCCTTAAAGGCAAGGGCTTTGGGGTCAGTTCACAGAACTAAGGTCACCTAAGAAAGAACTCCCCTTGCTTTCAGAGCACAACTCTGGGCTCCACATGGAATCAAATCCCTAAGGAGCCAAAGTCACTTGGCACTACAGAGAAGAACAGGTGTGTCAGAGGCAATAGCTGCTGACTTTTTTCCCCTCAAGAACTGGTATGACTTCTCTAAAGAGGATATATGAATGGCCAATAGACATATGAAAAGATGCTCAATGTCACTATTAATCAGAGAAATGCAAATTAAAACCATAATGAGATATAACTTTACACCTGTCAAAATGGCTATCATAGTAACAACAAGTATTGGTGAGGATATAAAAAAAAAAAGGAGATTGGAAAAGCCACGGTGGAAAACAGTATGGTGGTTACTTAAAAAATTAAGAATAGAACTGCCTTATGACCCAGTGATTCCACTTCTGGGTATATATCTAAAAAAACCCAAAACACTAATTTGAAAGAATATATGCACCCCTATGTTCTTTGCAGCATTATTTGTAATAGCCAAGCTATGGAAGCAACCCAAATGCCCATCAATAGACAAGTGGACAAAAAAGCTGTGGTACATATATACAATGGAATATTACTCAACCATAAAAAAGAATGAAATCTTACCATTTGCAATAGCATGGATGGACCTAGAGGGTACAATGCTAAGTGAAATAAGTCAGCCAGAAAAGACAAATACTATACGATCTCATTTATATGTGAAGTCTAAAGCACAATATAAACAAAATAGAAACAGACTCATAGATACAGAGAAGAGACTGATTGTTGCCAGAGGAGAGGGGAGTTAGGGGACTGGGTGAAAAAGGCGAATCTGGTTTATCAGGGAGAGTGACAAAGTGGCTCAGGAGGGCAGCTGAGGAGTGCAAAGGTCACAAGGAGTGACACCAATGACTCCTCAGGCTTCCCCAGCAGCATCAGGAGTCAAAGATTAAAATCCAAAAATTTTAACCAAGGATTTGAACAGTTGAACACAGTCTTCTAGAGAAATCCAACATCTTAAAAGAAGTCAAGAGCCAGGAAGAATCAATGGCTTTTGTGGGAAAGCCCAGAACCGTGGAGACAGTCCTGCTCAGGGCGAGAAGGGAGAAAAATGTCATCAGGTCAGATCAGCTATCTGACAGCAGGTCCTGTGGGTCTGCAGACAACTTCCCAATCAGTTGGCTCACTGGGCCATGGGAAAAGGGGTGAAAGGGACTGGTCACTTCACTAAAGCCTTCACAATGGCCTCGAGCCTCCAGCTGGCTGAGCACACAGCTTCCATCCACACACTAGGCGTCAGGCAAACAGAGCTGGTTTTCATCCATCCTGTGAGATGTAGGTGGAGAAGTGGGCAGGTTGGAGAAGGAAAAGGAGATGAGAGAAAAAGATGGGATGCTGATGCAATTGAGAAAGGACAGATTATTTAGAAGAATTTTCTGGCTTCGCATAACTCAGTCCATGTGACCCATTTTAAGTGTAATGTGGGTCCACCATGTCCCTCAGGGAGGCTATCATCAGCTCGGAGTAGATCACAGTGCCAGTCTACCTTCAAGGCCCCCTTCCTGCCCTGACACCTGCACCTTTCCACTAATCACACGTCAATTGCCCAGATGATGCTTGGCACGCCCACTCTCTGGAAATCACCCAGTGACTGAGCTTATGAAAGAACTGCATGATGTGCCCCGCTTTCAATAATGTCCCGGTGGGTCAGTCTGTTCTCTCCACCTACCCCTAGCCCTGCTTCAGGGGCCCAGGACCATATCTGCATGTCCTGCTAAGCTCCTGTCCCCCTGCAACATTCTGCTGCCCACAGGTAGGGCCAATGAACTCTCTGCCCCCACAAATCTCCTGCCTTAGTCCTGAACACCCCCTGTCCTCCAACAAGGGGCCTTCTCAGACCTCAGGCCCTCAGTCTGGGCTCCTGCTTCATTTCCAGGGCTGGAATTCCATCTCATGCCCAGTCACTGCCTGGCCACTAGGCTTGAGTCCTTTCTGGACATCTACCTAGTGCCTGGCCAT